ATGCAGTGTGAACTTTCACTCCTGTGCTTAAAATTGAGCCCATGTATCACACTGAATGCTGGAATGACTTCATGGGGATGGTAAGTGGAGCATCCACCAACTAGCACTAAGCAGGCCTCTGAAAAGTGGAAAGAACTTTGAAGCATATCTGGTTAAGCCTCCTTGTTGTGCAAGTATGGACACTGAGTCCAAAAGAACAGGACATCTGCTCTAAATTTTCGTAGGTAGTTAGTGTCAGAGGTGGGACTAACCCCCGTACTTTCTGACTCTCCATCCAGTGCTCTTCACAAAGCCAGTGGGAGCAGTGAGACAATCATTTGTGCCATCACCCAAGTCAGCCAGCTCTTCTCTCTGGGCCAACAGGAAATTCACAGAATAAGTGGGCCTTCAGCAGGCACAAGAGGTATGTCTTCTGTGCTGTAGAGCATTTTCAATTTTTGTAACTAAATCCATTTTAAGTGCCCTAGAAAAATTGATGATGTTAAGCACCTTAAAGGCCAGGATCATCCATGGAGATTCTTAGCACAGGTGTATGCTGACTTATTGGTAGGTCATCTGATAGACGGTAAGCAAATTTCAGCATGCAGGCTTTCAAATCAACAGATTTGCTTCCAGTGAACACACCTGTCCATGATTCTTGCTAAGACCAAAGCCACACTCATTTACATTTTGAAGCAGTGACAGAAAGAATTAGAGCTTGAAATTCTCCAAGGAAAACATATACAAAGAATTGAAAATTCACTTTTTGAGGGGTTGGTGCAGCGGGTTAAAGCCCCGGCCTGCAGTGCCAGCATCCTTTATGGGTGCCAGTTCAAGTCCCGGCTGCTCCAATTCCAATCCAGCTCTCTGTTATGGCCTGAAAAAGCAGTAGAAGATGGCTAAAGTCCTTGAGCCCCTGCACATGTGTGGGAGACCCAGAAGAAGCTCCTGGGTCCTGGCTTCGGTTTGGCCCAACTCTGCCCATTGCGGCCATTTGGGGAGTAAATCAGAGACTGGAAGATCTCTCTCTCTCTCTCTCTGTCTCTCTCTCTCTCTCTCTGGCTCTACCTCTCTCTGTAACTCTGTCTTTCAAATAAACAAAATAAGTCTTAAAAAAAAAAGTTTACTGTTTTAGAACATAAATGTGGATGTACAGCTTTTAATGCCAATTCAGTTGTTTTCTAGTCCTAGAACACTCGCACACTAAAGGATCTCAACATCAGGAGTATCATCTGGGAATAACCTTCAAGTTACAGCAATGAAGAAGTTATACTTCTCTGAGGTAAACACTATCTCCTGTGTTAATCACACTTGCCATCCTGGTCACACCCTGGGAGAGTCCTGCCACCTTACCTCTTTCTTACAACCAGACAGGCATTGTAGAGAAACTGGGCTAGAACCACTGCTGTTTCTACCACCTTGCTCAGGCCTCCAAGCTTATAGGACACAGGCCCTTAGTCTCCTCTATTTCTAGGAATGCTAATGGCCCAGAACCTACAGGCAAGCATTTATCTGCAAAGCTATGACATTGTCCCTATATTTAAAAAAAAGAAATTCTGATAGTGTGCTGCTCCCATCATCCATTCTGCTCAAAAGTCTTCAATCACCCATCATTGCCTACAGAATGCATCTCAGACTACTGAGGTAAAATTTAAAACCTTCTCTGGGCTGACCTCACCTCTGCCTTCCTATTCTGTAGCCTCACTGTTCCATTTCATGGATCCTTCTCTTCAGTCCCACTGGCTGTGTCAACATCTTCTGAGTATTCCTGTGCATAATCCAGTCGTACACAACCCCTACCTGAACTGCACTACTGTTTATGACCTATCTATCCAAATGCTAATTTCCACAGCTCAGCTCATATGCCTCCTCCATATAGAAATGTCTGTACTCCTCAACTAAGAGGATCTCGTGCTTTTTTTTAACCCCCCATGAGAACAGATCTATAATATTGTTTTCCTCTACATTGAAAAGCCTTCACTCTGGTATTTATTCTTAATAAATATTTGCTGACTGATTAATTATAAAGAAATAAATATGTATACATTTGCAAAACTCTTAAAATGTAATTATTTGCCACTGGTATTATATCCACACAATGGGAACCTCAAAGCACCTAGTATGTTATCATTGGATTCCTTTCTTTCACCAAACTAAGTCATTTCAAACCTTCATTACCTTCAGAGAGATTCTAGGAAGGGTATTCTAAGAGGCGACAAAGAGATTACATTGCTAGATTCCTGACTTGTTGTCCAGATCTTGCTACTGCATCAGACTCAGGCAAGTTTGAACTGGAGAGATGAACTAAGCATTAGCACTGTCCAAACAAAATGAAAGGAACACTTGTGTTATGTTGACTGATACTCAGGTCTAAAAGAAGGAAGTAAAGCAGCAAAAAGAAGACAAACACAGCCTACAGTCATCAATTCACTTCTCTTCAAATGCCTCGCTGCCTCTTCTGTTTCTACTTTTCACAACTGTGTGGTAGAACTGGAATGTCTGGGAGGCATTAAATTAGGATTGAACACCTGATGTGCTATAATCTGATAGAAATATTTACTACCATGCTTCACTGTCTGGACCCTCCTCTAGCTGGCTCCTGTTTTGTTTATCCAGAAGACATTCTCTTCTTTAAATTAAAAAACTCTAAAATTGATACTCCACCTGTAAAGCTATACATGATTTCAGAGTCCAATCATAAATCACATAATACAGTCCTGTTTCTAGATCCAGTAGACTTCATTTAATGGATCTGGCCATATCCTCAAAAGACATACTATTTGAAAAGAGAAAAGAAAACTGAGTTATATACGGCAACGGGAGAGTAAAATCAGTTCGTAGATGAGCAGAAAAGTTGGTAACAGAAGTTTAAACTTCTAACCATTCATTACTTCCTTTCTCCATTCATTAAACAAATATTGGCCATCCTCTGTGTCAGCGCTCAGTAATTTCATTTATTTAGCTAATCTAACTATACACATCTATTGAGCACTTATGTCCCGCTAGCAAGTAAACCATTAGTTGCAACTTTTTGCAACCAAAAAGTTGTTGATATGATTCAAATGAGAGATATAGAGGAAAAAATTGTAAATATTAAGACAAATAATCCATTGCAAAATATTGTTAAGTAAATGTGAATAACTATTCTAATATCAGATCTGTATTTCTAGTAAAAATCTTTTTTTTTTATTTCATATATCACTAATTTTCCTTACTATCCCAGACACGTAGGATTCTACTTTGTTAACTCCCAGGTACATCTAACCCAGGATGAGTTTAGTTACAAATGAAGCAATTAAGAACTTGGACAAAAAGATGGGAAAATGTATCTAAAAATAAAGTATAAAGAGCACACATGGTTTTTACTATAATTATTATCAAAAAGGCCGTATTGGATATTTTCTTAATGAATTTTAAAGTCATGTGTTTGTGTACAGAGAGAGAGCTTTTCTGGACCAATGGTTCTTAAGGAGAGGAAGAGATATTTTGCCCCTCAGGGACATGTGGCTAACTCTAAAGACATTTCTATTTTCACAGCTGGGGTGGGTGGGGGTGGGTAGTGCTACTGGCATCTGGTGGGTAGAAGAGAGTAAGCTGCTCAACATTCTGTGAGGCACAGGAAAGATCCCTACAACCAATCAGCCCCAATATGGTAGTGTCAGAGAAATGCACACAGTTTGCAAGTCCAGTAGCTGGGGCTCCCCCTTTTGTTAGCTTCAGAGAGTTGCTTAACCCCTTTGAGAGTTCTTTCTTCAAAAAAAAAAAAAAATCTGGACAATGTGGATCATACCTACCTCTGAGATTGTGGTAAACACAGAATCAACTGTATGTGTGCATATGTGTAAGTGTGTGCACGTCTAAAACTTCATGGAAGAGCATATTGTGAAAAAAACTGTGCAGATTTCAAAAATTCTTTTGCAGCAGAACAAATTGATCTTTTAATTTTTCCATGAACTTTTTGAAGCTCCCTAGTGTGTGTGTGTGTGTGTGTGTGTGTGTTCAATAGAGTTACCCCCTTATTCTTCCCAGCCTAGCCCCTGCCTGCCCCCATCGGCACCCCCCCACACACCCTAAGTCTCAAGTTCTCTCTTCTAAAACGCTTTGATTCCTTTGGTAGCAAACTTGGGTTGGGAAGTGAGTCACCACTCAGCAGCGAACCGAGCCGAGCTTGTTTTTCTTTCTCTGAACGCATTTCTTAACAATTCCAGCCAGATCCTTCAGCCGCTTGCTGGTTGGATCCTCTCTGAATGTTTAAAGACACACAGAGCAAGAGCTGTGGCACCAGGACGTTTTCCAATTGTTAGAGAAGGAGAGCTGTTTAAACTCCGAAAACAACCAGAGGGCAGAGAGCCCTGCAATCCTAGGTTACATAAGCAGTGTCCGAGGAGCGAGGCTGGCTCCGAGGTTCTTTTCTGCAAGTGTCCATCAGCGCAGATCCTCCCCAACCTTGGCTGGATTTACCTGAATGCCGCCGCCGCGGGGTCCCAAGAGGGACCCCGGGACAGCGCACACTACAGGCAGCCCCAGGAGGTGGTCCCGGTCCAGCGAGCGCCCGGCCCGCGTGTGCGGAGGACCGGCGGGCTGCTCCAGCGGGTGGCGGGGGCTGCAGCACCCAGTCGGTCCCCTTGGCTCCAGGTGCTGCGTCCCCAGCTCCCTCTCCTCGCCTGGCTTAGGGACATGCAGCTCTCCTGAACCGTTATTTAGCTTCTCAAACTCGCAGAAGACACCTGTAGTCATAAGAGGCACTCCACCAGATCCCCAAGGGTCATGCAAGGGAGAAAAAAAAGACAATAATGCAATTCCCCCTTCTTTGCTGGCATATTCGTCTCCACTCTGTCTCCTTTGCTCCCCCACCTTTCTCCAGCTGTGCTCTAGATCCCTGTCCCTATTTCTCATATTCTCTTTGCCGGCTCCCCGCCCCGCTCCGGATTCCACTCCTTCCTGCGCTGTGACCCCCTCCTCCCTCCCGCGGGCTACCGGCTCTGCCCTCTCGCCCCTCCCCAGAGAAGAGTGTCCGGCTCCTCCCGGGGCTCCCTGCCCGCCACTCCTTCCCTGCCCACCTACTATGAGGAGCGACTCCTCCCACCTGCGCATAAAAGCCAAGTGCATGTTACCCGGCGCGGATCAGAGCCCTTCCCCGGTCCTCTCCGTGGGAGCCCGCGAGCCTCTCTGCCCGACCTTACGTGCCCAAGGTAAGACCACACATGTGCGGGCAGCTGCCGATGAGGGGCTGCTGCCGGGGAGGAAGTCCTGTCTGGTCACCGCGCTGCCAGTTTGCTTAGAGCAGCTGCTTAGGGATGCTGGATCAGCTGCTTCTTAAGTAGCAACTGGTTTGAAAACAAACTTCTGTTTGAACGGTAAAATAAAAGCTCCTTTGGGGCAAGAAACAGCAGGATAAATATCGCAAAAGCCTTTTTTCTTTTTTAAAAACCACTTTTTCCCCCGTGTTGCTGACGGTGGCTGAGGTTAAAATGTATGTGTTTGGGGTATTTTCCTGACGTTTTCATTGTGTTTCACGTATCAGTGCGGGCAAGGAGAACCCTGTCCCATTGTCAAAGACGAACTTTAAAAGAACACAATTAGCTTCCTAAAAATAGCACAGCCCAAAGGTCTGCTAATAATTTTGCGATGTTTCCCAAACCCCCAAGACAGCGTCTGTGAGTCCTTCAGAAAAATATCTTTCCAGGTTTGAGCACTTGGAAAAAATTATGTGAACGGGTGCCCTTTACACAGCGACGGGAATCAGGTGGCTGGTAGATAGGAAAGAACGAATCTAAATTCACAGGCTGGGGCCGAGTGTGCTGTCCCCAAAGCCATCTTTTCCCTGAGACCTAAAATGGGAACTGTGCTGGAACTAAAAAACTGTGTAAAAGGACTTCGTGAATTTCTGTACACACACCTTAACATAAAGCGTTTCAATATGTTCACAGCATGAGAAAAATACAGGCCAGACTGTACCATAATTCTGTGCACAATCACCGGTGGTACAGAGAGATCAGCTAGCAAGGCTTTAGAAGTTTTAATCCTACCAGCCACCCGGCTTAATTCATCTAGTAAGTTAAAACCTACCTGATTGGCATCACATTCGCATAGACATATCCTGTGTCTATGCTACTCTTTTAAAAAAATGGATCTCTTATGATTCTTGGGACAGAATGAGTGTTGTGCACCTGTGAAGGAGAAACATACTCAACAGCTACTCTGTAAAAGCAGACACTTGGTGAATGAAGTTCGCCATCAAAATCTTTGGGTTGTGTGCGATGAGACTCTCTCATGTAGGAGAAAAACCCTCTTCAAATGTTTCCTCTGGGGAAATGCACAAGCTGGCTTAGCAAAGACAAACCCAAACTCCCAAAACCACTATTTTAGCCCTTAAGGTTGTTAAAGAGGTGAAATGTTTGATAACTACTCCTTCTCCTTCTCTTCTTTCTCCTCCTCCTCCTTCTTCTTCGTTTGTTTATATAGTTGCATGTAGAACATGAAAGGAAAAACTCACCCAAGCTGTAAAAGAAATTCCTTTAATAAAAAAAAAAAAAACTTGAATCATTAGAAACTTAAGTGAGGGTCTTCTAAACCATTTCTCCTTATCTTTTGAACATCAGAAGAAATAACAAAGATATTTTACACTTCTATTTGGGGTGTATGGATTTCCATACTATTATTCAAATGAAAGAATGATACCTAAAGCTTTCTGTCATGTTATATTTTTCCCATTGGAAAAAATATTGCAAGGATTGTGGTTTCCTTTAAGAAAATGATATGAAATTACTATTGGCCAGCCTAGTATGTGACCTGAGCATATTAAAATATCTTTTATCTTGCGCCACAGGACAGATTGCTTGCATCATTTCTGAGATAAGTGGTTAATCAACCATGACAAGAGCACAGGTATGAGACAAGGCCCCAAGTTTGTGGTATGTCCAAGCTAATTCTTCCTTTGTGCTATGCCTGACTCAAGCCTATTATTACAAGGATGCAAATATACTGTTTTGATCATCAGATCATCTTAAGGAAAGTTATCTTTTCTGGAAGAGAGGGGAGAAATATTCCCAGTGTAAAAGATCTCCCTGTTATTCCTAAATTTGAGGATGAAAAATAGTCTCCAAGAGATAATCCACTCAACCAGCCATTTCACAGGAAATGCCTTCCCCATGTGCCATCAGGTTCAATCCCTTAAATAACTAGGTGAGATCCTCTTAGTTTGCTCATGGTCTAACTCTCCCAGGGGCCATTACTAGACAAAGAAATACTTTCTCTATAGGGTGCATATAGAGCAAAACGGTGCATATAGAGCACTTCCCTTCACAGGGTATTAGAAAAATCAGTGATGAGGTTCCCTATCATTACCCGAATACTGCCCTTCTGCGCAGGTGTGGAGACCTACCACAAGTCTCCTCTTCTTGCCATTATATGGCTTATGGCTGCCCCGAATCAAATTCATGGCCATACACATCCAACACCTTTGCCGCTGGCTTGAACGCTTCTTTAATGTCTCTCAAAAAGAAGCAGTGGCTGCCCTTGTTGCAGAAACACACGGAGCATGTTCTGTTGACACTGAGGGCCTTCTTTACCAATTTTAGATTCTCCACTATTGTCAAAATTACAAAATCATGCCCTTTCCATGATCAGAAGGCATATGTCAACTGACTTCCACTTGCAAAACAAAGTAACAGGAACAGGATGATGGGGATGAACAAAAAAATTGAGAAGGAAGCTCAGGGATCACTGAGGTGCCCAAAGAGAAGGGAGAGAGCAGGATTCCTATCACAAAACATAGGTTCTTGCTGCTTGCCTTGCTGCAGAGTGTGAGGGGCTAGGGTAGGGCAAAAATCACGTCTGCCCTTGGTTACTTGCTTTCGTGAGTTTTTTCTTTTCTTTTCTTTTCTTTTCTTTTCTTTTCTTTTCTTTTCTTTTCTTTTATTTAAAGCCTACAGCACCCTGTATTCCTTGGCAGTCTCCTATCCAAGTATTAACTTCTGGGTCAGGGAGAGGAATTCCAGTGTATTAAGATCCATCTCCGCATGCCCTTATGCTCTGTCCTCCTCCTCTAGTGGAATAGCTTAATCCTAAAGACCAAAGTGATTTCAGGTCTGCCCCACATTAAAACCCACAGGAATTTGTCAGTTATACTTTGAAAAAGCTTGATTATGGGTATAATAACCCTGAAACATCTTTTTAATGAGTTGGTATGTCACAACAACAAAGTCAACCCTAATTCTCCGGAAGGGTACAGTGTTGGGCCATTCTTAGCAAGTTAAGTGTTGAAAGTTGACATATATTCCATCATATCCATGGTCACCCTCCTTGGTATGACAACTTCATAGCCATATTTCCCAAAATTTGGTCCTCCAGGTAACCTTCTGAGAATCAGGTCTTTCTCCCTTCCTCCACTGCCACTTCCTTCTCTTACCAATCCCCCATAAATGCACATATAAGGAAGGTTCAGAACTTGAGACTGGGGTAATCTTGTGAGAGGTCATTGTTCTAACAATTGAGTGAAAAAAAGAGAGGAGAGGAAGAGGTTAAAGGGACAGTGGAGACCCTTTGGGATTTAGATCTTTGTCTTTAGCACTGTGTGGAAAGGGTCTCTCACTACCTAAAGCATCTAGGAATTTTTTAAAAAGTTGCAAAATGCTAAGAATGCAATGCAATAGATCTTCCAGTGACCTGGTAGTCATTAACAGCAGTTTACACCCTACAGTACTAAATTACAGCTCTGCTGAACTTGCCTTTTCTAGAGAGACAGAGGAGTGAAGAGTGGGAGAGTTAACCACATTTCAGCACCAAGGGAGAGAAGCCACTGGGCAGAGATTCCACTATTGCTTTAGTAACTGTGTGTGCCGGTTGAAGTAAAAGATTCTTTACAGTCTGTCCTCAAGCGAATAGATTTGCAGGAAAGGGTTAAAAGGAGTCACAGAAGATAGGAATGTCTACAATCTGAGGGCACTGGGTACTCAAATCCACAGAGTCGCTGGAATTGCATAGCATCAAACTGAAGGGAACAAAACAGAAGTGTTCCCAAAAACTAATCACAGTCACCTAAAATAATAGTGAATTCTAATTTGTCAGTGTAGCAGAAGCGCAAAAGCAACAGCTGTAGGTGATTAGGTCAGCATACCTAATGATTCACCACCAGTGTCCTCTATTTATTTTGGGCTCACTTCTCTTGTCCTTCCTGGAAAACACAAATTGGCCCTTCTCTCCTTCAGCCCATTTTGGGAATGGCAGATGCAGTCACAGTCCTTCAGTGCCACCCTCTCTGTTCTTTCAGTGGAATAAATTTCAGTTTTTATAGAGCACTGTTTTAGAGGCCCATGACTCACACTTGCGGCTTTTCTCATCATGAAAAGTCTCTTCAAGCTTCCCTGAAATAAAATACAGCAAATAAAAAAAGGTTCCCATTTTTCTCAACCTTCATTCATATGTCTAAAAGAAACATTATTTGCCATTGCTACTTGCCTCCAATAAACACTCTGAGATGAGATGTCGAAGCACTTTAATTGATCCAGCACCTATGCTATCTCAGAGAGTCACATGATACAAATACTGAAGGGAAACTTGGAGCTAAATGTAACAAAAAATTAATCTTCCAGGTGAGAAAAGGTCAGAAAGATTAATGTCTTTCCCAAGGTCACCTAGATGGGGGTAGATGGAGGTAGCACCACCAAACGTGGAAGTCATGGAGCCAAATGATCCATTCAGTGCTCTTTCTTGAATGACTACATGTCCCCTCAAAGAGTGTGACTCTAAGGGGTCTCTGACTTCACAGCATTCTGTAGGAACTTAACAAATAGTGTCTTCAGAAACCATAACTTGGCAGAGTTGTGAATTGCAGCGGTACCACTACTATAGAATGTCTACGAAACAATGCTGCAAACCCTGATGTAGTGAAGATACTGACCATCCCCATCCCAGGGACTTTATATGTTTTTCTCCTTTCTTGGAAATGGTATATAGGAACTGTTTGGTCAATCTGTATGGAGTAGGAGACTAAATGAGAAAAAATATATAGTACAAAAAAAGAATAAAAGCTAAGTGTAAAATACCCATTTTTCTTTACTCTTTCCATAAAAAGTCCCTATATGGAGTATAAAGGAACCTATAAGGATTCAAATCTAAATTTATCAAATTTAATATTCCCCTTTGCTTTAGGTAACATTTAGCCTTATCAATGACTAAACCATTGCCCTGTCTGTGGTACTTTTGCTATTTCTTCTTATATTTACCAGAACTTTTGAAATTATCTTTCTAAATCAAGCTTAAGACCTAGTTCTGATATTTATGTGACAGAACAAATGTACTAATGTGTAATAATTTATAACATGATCTTCTATTTTTCCCACCCCAAAACTTGCTGCCAATGTAACCATCTCATACTCCCAGATCTTTAATGAAAGGGCAACTTATGCACAATGGACAATCAGAGAAAACATGAGGGACACAATGATTGGCAGGTGTGGGCATGAGATGTGTTGTAATGGGAGGAGGAAGGGTAACCAAGGAGTCAGTCATAATAGAGATAGTATGGTGCAGCTACCAGAATCCATGCTTTTAGGGAAAATGGTTAGGTGGACCAACATTCAAAAACTTTCCCTAAAAAGTAGAATTATTAAAAAAAGAAAGGAACATTACAAATAGTAGCACAGTTTCATACATGATAAATATGTACAAGGGGTCTTCAAAAAGTTCATGGAAAGTGCATATTGTGAAAAAGCTTTACATAGGTTCCAAAATTTTAGCACTAACATAAACCTATCACTTAATTGTATCTTTCCACAAACTTTCTGAATCACCCTTGTAAAATTATGAAACACATAACACATGCTTCTAAAACCACAGAAGGAGAAGCTCTCATGAGATTTGAGGTGCTGGAGAAAAGATTTTGTTATGATTGTCTGAATCCAGACCTTCTCAAATGTTTGGGAGATGAAATCCTGTTTGCATCAGGTATCTAGGTACAATGCGACCTGAGAACTGGATGCCACAAATGAAAACTTTATAAGGATTACATCCATTAAAACTCTTCTTAATACTTCACTGAATTTCCACAAGGACCAAGTCCTCACTGGAACTCGCTTTATATTTAATACTTCTTTTTAAACTCCTCAATTTAAAAAAATAACACACATAGCAACTGTACATATTTATGTGATGATTCAGACCATGTATACATTGTGTAATTGGACCTCATTTTAGACTTGACTCTGACCCAGGATAATAACTCCATGGATGTCAAGTTGTCAAAATGATCTCTGCTAAGGTAATGACAGAGTTATTGGTAACACATAAAGTTACTTTTGTACAGAAAGTAAGGAAGGTAAAAAATAATATTCTTGTATTGTTTCTGGAAACAATTTACTCTGAATAAGTGAACAGATGTTAGCCCAGATGCTTCTTCACTTTCCTCTAAAGTATGCCTGACAATTGTTTGCATATCTTTGCAACAGTAATTATGCTTCTGAAATTGATTTATTGTATGGTAAAATTTACATAGTCTATGACTAAGCATCATAGTGAAAACACTCTTTTAAGTCAGCATTTCTTGGGTACTGCCTCTCTTAAGCTCTCCATTGATGTGTTTACATCAAGGGATAGTTAGGCGTTGGAGCATTTAATGTGCTGAAACTGAAGACAATTAATCACTTCATATGCTACTTTTCCAACTCAGACTCCATAGGCCTGGGTGTTTGAGTCAGCTGTTGGCTTCCCCAGGAAACACCACATATCCAGGCTATTGGGGCACTTCTGCAGGCCTCACTGTTAGCTAGAGAAAACAGCTGTTTTCCTGGAAGTTCAGGACACTGGCCTCCATAGTTGAGGCTTCGCATAGTAGCACAACTACTACTGGCTTCCACAGAACTTTCACTACCCAGCAGTAGAGAGGTTAA